ATTGGAATGCACTGCCTCAAAATGTGATGATGTCTCCTTCTCTGGGGGTTTTCAAAAACAAAAGCTAGATGACCATCTATCAGGAGTGTTTTGATTGTGTATTCCTGCATTGCCCTTTTGGCCTCTTTAAATTCTAATATTTTGTGACCCTGCAATTCTATAACTTACTCATGAAAAGACTTGTAGTATCAGGACATTTCTAGATTGATGTAATCTCATTTACCAATTGAAGATTATCAATGAAAGATCAAATTCTGGCAATCTGATAGGAAACCTGCTGGCACAACTACTTTCATTCGAAAGTGCTTTTGCCATGTCTAATAGTTTTAGAAATTTTATAAACCTCCTCCTCCTTCTCGTCCTCATCATCTTGGGATTGTTATTGTGGGGCGGGGATATGATTAAGTGCAATTTCCACTACTGGCTTATTCCCCTGTGAAATTCCAAGAAGAGTTAAGTTGGAAGTCTGGCAATTTACCAATAGAATCCATAACACAGTGAAGTGCATTGTGAAGTGCTCCTGCTCAGGCTTTCAGCCAGCCGTGTCCTTTTGTAGACTACTTTCTTCTATCCGTCAAGCTGTACTTTCTTTCCTTCCTCAACAATCAGCCAAGACTCTTTTCCTCTGCACATGTACTGTCCTCATTGAATTGTCCCTTGTTTCCTCTAAAGTATTTTACTATTTTTACAAGCTTTCCACTTGTGAATGGTAGGAAATTAGTTAGATGTGAATACATACAACAGAGAGGGAATGTGTCACCTTCCATAATCTCTTGGGTTGTGACTCCAGCCAGTAATAGGCAGCACAGTCAATTGTGAGGGATTATTACAGTTGTATTCCAGCAATATCTAGAAAGTTACATGTTGGCCAGCCTGATATAAAGTCAGAAAGATGATTAGGATGCCCAAAGAAGGCAACAAAGATGGTACAAGGTTTGGAAACTTAGCTTCCATGTTTAGCCCGCAGAAGACACATTTGAGAGAGTATATGATATACCATACATCTTCAAATATCTCAAAAGTGTTACATTGAAGATAGAACATATTTGTTTCTGCCTTAGAGGATGTGGACTCGTGGATTCAAACCAGAGGGGACTAGTAAGAGCTATTCGACATTGAGACCAAGTATGTCTGAGGGTATGGAGGTTTTTAAACTGAAATTGGATGGCCATCTATCAGCCATGCTTACACTAAACATTTTTTGCACTGCCTACATTTCATTGAGGTCACTCATTTCCTATTCTATAGTTCTATATTTCTATAGGATGATTATTATATCATAAATATCACAAAACCTGATATCTGAAATAATTTCAGATGATAAAAATAACAACCACTCCATCTTTGGGACATGTATTTGTTCTAGTATTATATTGGATTTTTCTGTGAGTATACATATCCTCACATATGCATGGTCCCCTGCCATATGAGGATCATGTTTTGGTGATCCACAGTTAACTGCATATCGTTGACAGTGGTCTGTTTTATGTTTGAATAGAAGTGTCTTTACCATCATAAATGGAGAAGTAACATAGGTCACCATGACAAAGGTGATCATCACACAAAGTGTGAAGCAACCAAATAAGTTAAGCAAGGGGTCCTCAAACTTTTTAAGCCAAAGGCTAGTTCATGGTTCTTCAAACTGTTGTGGGGCCAGACTATAGTTTGAAAAAAAAATGAACAAATTCCTATGCACACTGCACATATCTTGTTTATAATGCAATATGAAAGAATAATGCAATATTTAAAACGAAGAACAAATTTAATCAACATAAACTTTCAATAGGAGGTGTGAGCCTGTTTTTGTCTAATGAGATAATAAGAGTTAATTAGGATTGTTGTTGTTGTTCTTGTTGTTGTGTACCTTCAAGTCATTTCAGACTTAGGGCAACCTAAACTAAGTCTAAAGTTTAAGGAGGGGCGGGTTAATGTTGTTGTGTACCTTCAAGTCATTTCAGACTTAGGGCAACCTAAACTAAGTCTAAAGTTTAAGGAGAGGCGGGTTAATGGCTTTGGAGGGCCCATCCAGCTGGCTGGCCTTAGTGTGGGGACCCCTGGGTTAAGCTGTGACCCTTGTGCATATCTCGTGTATTCTCCAGTGCTGTGTGGTGTCCCTTCCTGAAAAACTGCACATCAAGCATATGCAGACAATAGGGACAAAAAAAAAAACCCACATTCCTTCCTTCTCCCTTATAGGCCTATAGATTCTGTAGATCTTTCCTATACAAGCCCTGGGCAGAGTTGAGCAGAACAGTGCCATATTGTACATAAAAAGCCCTGTGCAGGTTGAAATAATTGTTCACCTACCCTAGTAGTGTATTTCTAATCTGGGTTAACATGGGGTCTTCCATTAAAATCCCTCACATGTTGTTTGTAATCCAATTTAAACATATGCTGTTCACAATCCAATATGAACACCCAGATGTTGTTTACCTAACTCCATATATTCACAGGAAGGGGGTGTCCCACAGCTTTGTTTACTCTTGGCTTGTTCAAGCTAAGGACTTGGCTTTCCAATATTGCATACTGGTTAGATATCCCTCATCCGGAATTCAAATATCCAAAAATTCCAAAACTGTTCACACGAGTGGCTGAGATAGTGACACTGTTGCTTTCTTATGGTTTAATATGCACAAACTTTGTCTCATGCACAAAATGATTTAAAATATTCTGTATAAAATTGCCTTCAGGCTCTGTGTATAAGGTGTATTCAGAGTTGAATCCCATCTCCAAGATAGCGCATTATTTCATAGATTCATAGAATTGAAAAAGGACACAAGGGTCATCAACCCAGAAACACGCAATCAGAGCACCCTTGATTTTTCTCTGATTGCAAAATCAGGAGAAAAAATCTGAAATATATATCATTTCTGGCCCCAGGCATTTCAGACAAGGGATACTCAGTCTGTATCTACTCTGCTTGCTATACTAGTTCTGTGCATGCTGCAGCCTGTAACTGAGATTACTCCTGCAGGAGGAACATAATCGGTGAATAAAGTCCAGTAATCTATGTGCATTGCTTGGGACACCAAGGGAACCAGGGTAGAGGAGCCTTACTTCACTGCTGCTTGGAGGCCAGGGGCTTTTAGGCTTCTAGGAGGCCTGAATATGTCTTGTTGTGATAGAAAGCTTGGGCTGATCCTCTCTGTCCTCTCTGTTCCATTGTGGATCTCCCAGAGGTAAGAGGGGAGTGGTGCTGGCAAGCAGGCAACCTCGGTGACTCATGCCTGACCCCAAGCCTGTGGGTGGGTGAGACGCTTTCCTCTGGATTGGTGCCTCCTGCTGCAACACGCAACAGGGCTGTTACACTTGGCACGGATGCGGACAGCCAAGGGGAGGAGGCCTGAGGCACAAAATCTGGGAACAGTTTGCTCTTCAGGACAGAAGGCTGGGTTCTCTAATTATCCAACCCGGATGGAGCCGTGAGATTCTTTCCTCCCTGCAGGCAGAAGTTTTCAGTAAGGCTTGGAAAGCAGATGTGCCTGAGGAGACAATGATGTGCTCATGTTCCACGCAGAAAAGGCACCCCCTCCCCTCCCTGTTTGGAGTCCCAGTCAACCAAACGTGGGAAGGGCGTTCTTTCTGTTCCACTCAAGCCAAATAATTTGACATAGAAGAAAATCCCAATTTTTATATAATTTCCCCCCTTATCAGAGCAAGAGGAGTGTTGTGACAACAGAGGTAAAATTGCATCTGTGTGTGGTATGGAAACATTCTCTGTATTATGTTCCAGCTTTGTATGCAGGGCTGTCTGTAACAGAGAGTGTGTTGTGTATTTTGTTTCATTGGTTGCCTTTTATTAATGTGTTTTGTCATCATAGCTGAGCTGTAGTAATTAGAGGAATGTTCTGGCACTATCTCAGCGCTCCCACTTCTTTCCCCCCATCTTTCAGGCCATTCTTTACTCATTAACACCCCCACTTCTGATGCAGCTGAATGGATCGTTTTTTTCCTCATCAGCTTCACAGCAGCAAACCTCGCCTTTCTCTGGTCCCTCCATGTTCACTGGTCTACAAATGACAAACTGAAAACTATCTTATCTTTACCTGGGTGTATTGCGGATCTGGGTGTTTGTGGGTGGCTTTTGGGAGATATTGACTATATAATGGGTCAGAAGTTCATGATCAAACTCTGAGGAAGCAACCTAACTTGGGGCCCTTTCACACTCATAGTTGTAGTATTGTGATTCCAGTTTGTTGGGGCTTCATACTTTGGAATACTGGAATGTGTAGTTTGCTGAGGCACTAGCGCTCTTTGGGTAAAAATTCTATAAATCCCAAGATCCTATAGCATGGCAGTTAAGGGGAATCATAGTGTTGTACCTCTGTATTCTGGAAGTGGCACTTATTCCACATGGTAGGCACCAAATATCGCCTTTGAGCCATACTTGCCCTTTGTTTACTTTTTTGATAGTCAAAGAACATGAAGTCAGGAGGAAGGAAGGATGTCACACTCACCCTCAGTAGCAACCCAAGCTCTCCTATTGCCGGAGATGAAACGAGAAGCAATTATGGTCCATCCCACCTTTGCAGCTGCCTCCCTGCCCTGCCCTGCATACTTTCCCTTCCTCTCTTTGCTGTGCTTCATCAAATCCTTGCTCTTTAAAAGAGTCCTGCCCTTATCCTGCTGCCTCTGCATAAGGACACGTGGACCACTTTGAGCAGCCCTTGTTTCTTTTCACAGAGGGGATTTCTTTTCAAAGAGTGAATGGATAGGCAGGCAAGCAATAGTGCGTGAACCAGCCAAGAAGCAAAGAGGGAGACAACAAGAGACCCAGTGCAGAGGGAAGGTGACAAAAGGGTTTGCAAGGGAGATGAGGTGGCAATAAGGCTCTCTCCGAGGTAGGGGCAGTTGTGCAATTCATTGCTGGCTGGCTAACTGAAGTGGCTGCCCCTCTTTGCCTTATAATCAAATAGGGCCCTGCTTGTTGTGGACAGTTTACTATACAGATGGCCCTCCTCATTTGCAATTTTGACTTTTGTGGATTTGATTATTTGTAGATTTGATTAAATTTCAAGCTCTCCAGTGCAACACTATGTTCAACATCCACCAGAAGTTGATCACAGCATCAAGCTGAAGGAACAGAGATTCCTGGAGAGGTGTTCTCTCAGGTAAAAACATAACATTTTTTAAAAAAATCATGGCTTTCCCACTTTTGTGGGTATCCTATGACCCTAACCCCAGCACATGTGGAGGGTTGATTGTAGATTACTTTACCTCATTGAAAATAGAAAGCTCTGTTTGAGTAAACTATTACTTTAGACTAGCACAGACTCCAGCTACACTACCACATAGTCCAGTTTCCTAATGCAGTTTAACTGCATTGAACTGTATTGTATGGCAGTCTAGACTCATATAATGCAGTTAATGCAGTTAGGCCCCTTCTACATTGCCATATAAAATCCAGATTACCTTCTTTGAACTGAATTATATGGCAATGTAGACTCATAATCCAGTTCAAAGCAGATAATCAGGATTTTAAATGGCAGTGTAGATAGGACTTCAAACTGCATTATGAAACTGCATTCTATGGCAGTGTAGATGGGGCCTTAGTGTATTAAATAGCACACCCACCTCAACCCAGAACTCACAAGATATGTTGGACTAGAACTACCATAATTCTGAGCTGTGCTGGCTCAGGATGATGGAAGGTATAATCACACATCTAGAGAGGTTTGTGGAGATGTTATGTTTGTTTTGGTCTGGTGCTTTGCTTTAGATATCACAGGATATTTTCTATTATTTCTCTGAATTCAGCAATATTGTGGAAGTCCTACATCTGCAATGATATGATGGGTGTATTTGATATGACTTGGTCAAAATAACTATTTTTGAAGTTTTATCTAATCACATTTTCCAAGTTAGACCTCCCCCTTTTGGGGGTGGGATGAGTAATATATCTCAGGCTTCCTCGTAACCGTCTCCTTTCTTTTTATCAAGTTTTTTATGACCAAAGAATGCTTAACAAGATGGGGATGAAGATTATTTCCCTTCTTGTTCTTTCTTTTTCTTGCTCATTGTAACTTTAGGTAATTACTGTATAATAATGAGTAGGAAGAAGATGTCTGAAATTGCATAATGGAAGTGTGTAATGGTCCAAGTTCAAGTCCCCACTATGTCTTGAAACATATTTGTGATCCTGGTATAATTTCTCCCCTCTTCCCTCTCTTACCCTGGCTCATCTCACAGAGTTATTGTGAACTAAAATGCAGGGGGGGGGGATATATACCACCATGAACCCATCTGAAGACATATAAGAAATAAACATAACAGATTAAAACTGTCTCTGGCTCCCACTGAGTTACCTTATGCAACACTTTTAAGAGGACATGAAATTTATATTCCCTTTACAAGCCATTGTCACTTTGACACAAGCCAGCTGGTAGTACTCCATTGTGCCTCCCTCACACAAAGGGTCAGGACTCAATTGACCTCTCTACAAAATTCTTTCAGCTCGAAGCTTCTATTGCAACCCAGTTTCCTCTGGCTGGATGCAAATGCCTGCAGTGGTATGACTTTGCTCATAGTTGATGTTGTGTTTACTGTGGATAGGGAGCGAATTTCTGGGGTGTCAAAAATATTATGCTTCGGCTCCAATGGCAGGTCTAGTCCTGGAATCAAATACAGTCAGCACTCCATATTTGCAAGTTTAACTTTTGTGGATTTGATAATAAACAGATTTGTTTAATATACTTTTTCCCTCCAGCACGACTCTGTGGTTAATTTCCACCTAAAGTTGGTCCTTGCAACTCTGAATTCATACTTCAAAGTGCTTGTATTTAATTTCCGAAACAATTTCAATGTGCCCATAACTTTCATCCCTTACTGAGTTTCTTAATTATGAAGTCACTTTCCTGGGCTTATTGGGCATGAACTGTTGGTTTGATTTGATACATTCCAGGGACTCCTTGAGAAATATTTAGCATACATATGCTACAGCTAGAGCTTACTCTTTTTTTTTTGAACCACAACTCCCAGAACTGGAATGCTGAAAAGTGTACTCCAAAAATGACTTTTCCAAGCTCTGGCCTGCAGGAGGGGGTGCTAATATATGTTTTGGAGAGTACCAGCAGCACAAAAACTGGAAATTGCCATGGCAGTGCTTCTGAATAAGGCATGCTTCACGTTGTTATCATGGGACTGCTCGTGCCTGATAACAAAGCAGTGCCATCAGCAAAATGTGTTCCTTTCTCCAGTTGTTTCTTTCACACACAATCCATTCTGTATTATAGGCTTTTATATACACATTTATAAATCCAATCCCAATTGTTTCTGTCCAGTTCTAGGGCAGTTAATGCCATACACTGTACAGTATGGTATAGTAGTATGTTTGTCATTCAGAGAAGATGGCTGGGTACAGGTAGTATGTGTATGTGTGTGTGTGTGTGTGTGTGTGTGTGTGTGTGTGTGTCAGGAGCTACTTGAGAAACTGGTATGTGAAAATTGGCTGTCTGCAAGGACATTGCTCAGGGATGCCCGGATGTTTTAATGTTTTATTGTCCTTGTGGGAGGTTTCTCTTGTGTCCCCACATGGGGAGTTGTAGCTGACAGAGGGAACTCAACCCTCTCTCCCCGGATTCGAATCTCTGATCTCTCGGTCATCAGTCCTGCCGGCACAAGGGTTTCACCTATTGCAGTTTCTAAATGTTTTAAGAAATTGCAAATCTCAGAATTTGATGGGATGAAGCCATAATAATGTGGCATCAAATTAGTATAATTATGCAATGTAGATATACCTTGAGAGAAGATAAGTGTATTATTTAATATACAAGTGAGTGCTATGTGTCTGTGAATTGATATGATTGGTGACTGTGTTTTTGGGGCGGCAACCTCCACTAAGACCCACTAAGTATTGCCTCCCCCTTTGAAAGTACTGACATTTCTGGGTGGCACCTAATCAGGAAGAACCACCTGTGCCTTACAACATGGTGAAACTTTTAAAACATTAAGATGAGCTTTTGACATCTGCTAGTGTCCAGCTATCAATCTGCAATGAAAGCTCCAACTACAGGAGTCAATAAAAAAATCAAAAACAAAGCTGACAGTCACTGGGGTCAACTTGGGTTTCATTTGGATTATACCTGTTTCTGTTTGCACATTGCTTGTTGGACTTTGGCAACTGCAAACCCGGCTTAGTACGTCAGGGAAGTGCTGAACATCCGCTCCATCTTGCTTTTCCTTCCTGACAGGAATTCCTCCTTCTCTTGGCTCCTCATCCACAGCTCTCCTCACAAAACCTTCCCGATTCTAGAGTTAGGGAAATGGGCTGCAATTGCTACAGTATCAAAGACCCTTTCATTCCTTTCTCTTCTTACAGCACGCACATGTGGTAAACTTGCAACTCTCCTTGTGTTTTGGTTTTCACCTCCCAGAAGCACCAACCAATATGGTCCATAGCACAGGACTCTGGAAGTTGTAATCCAAAACAACTGGAGGACAAAAGTGTCCCCAGTTGTATAATGTGAGGGAGGGCAATTAGGCTGGATATTAGCTCTAGTGATTAGGGGTGCTCTTTGTGGATAATGACACTTGTAATCCAGCATCTGGAGGGCCATTGGTTCTGCAATCTTGCTTCAGAGAACGAAGGTCACCGTTACCTAATCACAGCAGAAAGAGGTTGTGCTGGCATGGTGATTTTGAGAATTGCAACTTTTTCCCAGTTCTGATGTTGCTTCTTGCATTCTTGTTGCTATCTCAGTGTCTTTTGCAATCTGTGAAATGTTGCAATTGTTCCCAGGCATTGACTTTGTATTATTTTCTTGCAGATCCCAAGGATGGAGGCTGGCTCGGTGGTCCGTGCTATCTTTGATTTCTGTCCCAGCGTATCTGAGGAGTTGCCACTCTTTGTGGGGGACGTCACAGAAGTATTGGCTGTAATAGATGAGTTCTGGCTCCTTGGAAAGAAGGAAGGGGTTACAGGTGGGAGCAAAGAGACCTTTGTTTAACTCATAGGGCTGGTAGGATGAGAAATGTGCTAGAAAGCATACAATATAGATCAGACATGGGCAAACTTTCTAACTTGGGGGGCCACATGGCAGGCGTAGTGGCGTGGTTGGGCCGGGAGGGAGGGGGTTTTCCCCAAGTCCCTTCCCTGCCTTTTCCTCCTCTTTCTTTTCTTTTTTTGGAGGCAGGAAGTGAAGGAAAGACAGGAAACATTTGGATCCCAAAAGAGTTAGCCTTGGTCATGATGAGATGGTGGGTGGGAGAGGAAAAAGTATACCCATTAGACCCCATATTGCCTACTGATATAGAATGCTTGAATCCTAGTGGTGGAAGAGACCCCCAAGGGCCATCCAATCCAACCCACTGCCATGCAAGAAGGCACAAATAAAGCACTCCTAATAGACAGTCTCAGTGGAAAAGCCTCCATTACACTCTTAGGCAGCCTATGCCATTCTCCAACAGCTCTTACACTCAGGAAGTTCTTCCTAAATCTTTTCAGTCAAATCTCTTTCCCTGCCATTTGAAATCATTTTCTCCCTTGTTCCCTGGTCTCTAGAGCAGCAGAAAGTTAGTTTTTCCCCTCCTTTAAAATCTTGAAACATAGTTCTCGTGTTGTCTATCTATCTTCTCTTCTCCCAGCTAAACATCCCCAGGAGGAAAGGAGGAAGGAAAAAGAGAAGGATGGAAGGAAGGGTGGATCCTTGCACTGTAGCATTCAGCTAGCCCCATATTTCCCTTCTCCTTGCACTAGCCTTGGTCCAGCCCGTTCCAAATAGTCCAGGCCCAGAAGAAGAGAACGGAACTGGTTTTAAATGCATTTTAATGTATATGTTGTGTTAACAGTTTATGCCTATGTTTTGTTTTATTTTGTATGTTTTTGTATTATTTTGCATATGTGGAAACCATTCTGAGTCCCCTAGGGGAGCTAGGGAATGGAGGGAGGGAAGCAAAGTAGGAAAGAAAGAGAGAAAGAACCAAAGGGAGGAAGGGAGGGAGGGAGGGAGGAGAAAGGAGAAAGAGAGAGGGGGAAGGAGGGAGGGAAGAGGGAGGTAAGGAAGGAAGGAAAAAGGAATGAAAAGGAAGGAAGGAGGGTGGGAGAAAGGGAGGTAAGGAAGGAAAGAGGGAAGGAAGGATAGGATCATGTGAGAGAGAGGAGGGCCTGAGAAAAGAGCCCAACGGGCTGCATCCGGTCCCCGAGCCTGGGTTTGCCCATACCTGATATAGCTCAATCAGGAAAGGAAATATGACAGAGTGGAGTTGTATTTTGTTGTTATTTACATTCAAGACTTTTCCGACTTAAGGCAATTCTAATGTGACCCTTGGCAAAATTTGTTCAGAGCATCCTAGCTCAACACTCAAACCACTACACCACATTGGCTATATATCCTAACCTCAAATACATAATTGAGGAACCCTACAGGTTTCAGCTATTCCACAACATGTATAAACAAATATATAGTAGCTTTATACACACAGCAGCCTTTGTACACTGGAGTTTCCCCATAAGTCTTCATTTACACAGAAGTTTACCTTACACTGACCGTGGAGTTCCCTCACTGAGGCAAACTAACACTAACAGGCTTCGACCCACTCACTCTCCCCAGGGCGACGCTAGCTTTGGTCCACTAACTCTTAACAGGCCTGGGCCTACTAACTCTTTCCATGCTTGACTCACATGTTTGTAATTAAAAAAAATTAATATTTCTGACACATTGGGAATTGAGGAACCCCACAGGTTTCAGCTAAGTTTCTGAAGCATATTTCTGATATTTCTTTGATGGCTAAAGCAATCTCTCCAGAAGATGGTGGAGAAATAGTCTAGGAAGGAGGAGTAGGATATGACAATTTTGCAGCTGAAATTAAGAGGTTATCTGGCAGTGTATTAAATTAATAGTGGCTTGGGGGAATGTGTCAAATGACCAATTACTAATCTACATACAAAAAATTCAAATACATATCCATGTTATTTGGAATATCAATATGCAAATAAATCTTATAGGGATTCGCCATATAGTAATGTTTCTCATACGGAATGAAGTGCCTTTAGTGTGATGGTCATGATATCTTAAGACGGCTTGATTTCTCCTTCCTGTATAAGGATGGTACTGTGTAATGAGGTACAGAACGCATGGCATACGGAGAAGTGAAACTGCTATTAGAGTACAGGAAGCTTCCTTCTTTTTTTTTTGTATTCATGTCCTTTTATTTGTTTCCTTCAAGCAGCTGATCAGGCTAATAAAAGATGTATGTCCCACAATACACATATGTAAGTAAAGGAAAAGGTTTCCCCTTGACATTAAGCCTAGTGGAGTTTGACTCTGGGAGGTGGTGCTCATCTCTATTTTGAAACCAAAGTTGTCTGTAGCCACCTCTGAGGTCATGTGGCCAACATAATTGCATGGAGCACCGTTACACATATGAAGCATGTTCCATAATCCACCAAGGAATGCTATCTTTACTAGCCAACCAAAAAGCAGAAAATACATCAGGTAAGATTTCAAAACTCACTGGCCAATAAAGATATTGTTCTTTTGTGGATTTTATTTTTTTTTATGTTGCTGCATAGCCAAAACAGCTATTCTGAAAATGTTTCCTTATTATTATTATTATTATTATTATTATTATTATTATTATTAAACTTTATTTGTACCCCGCTAGCATCTCCCAAAGGATTCGATGCGGCTTACACAGGCCAAGGTCTCAACAACACAACATAACAATACAATCAAGCAAATCAAACAATTAAAACAAAATAAAGCAAAGTAAACAACATGCACAATACATTAAAACACAATAAAACTGGGCCGGGCCAAAAGGTGGGTACAAGAATTAAAAGTGCTGGTTTGACAGGAGGTGTATAAAGGGTTTCTAGGGCAAGTGCAATGTGCGGTGTGCAGCAATCATTAGTTCTGGTAAAGTGCTTGTAGGACTCAGTAGTGGAGATTTCCTAATCTGGGAAGGCGCATCGGAAAAGCCAGGTTTTTAAGTTCTTTCTGAAGACAGCCAATGACGGGGCCTGTCTAAGGTCTTTGGGGAGGGTGTTCCAGAGTTGGGGGGCCTCCTTCTCAGTGTACATGATGTAGGTTCTGCATGACAACAAGCCCATGGGTTCAGTGGGTGGCAAAGTAATCGCCAGTACTCAAATTAGCAGGCTAGCCAGCATCCTAGTTATAGGATTAGGTCTTCACCATGAACCTCCCAAGCTTAGAAAATTATTTTTTAAATAACAGCTGCCAGAATCCTCCACCCACAATGGAAGTTTGGAAGTTGTAGTCCAGAAAATAACTTTTCTAAACACCCTTTGGATTCTTTCTCATTTAAAAACCTTTTAAACACCTGTGCAGCAGGAGTTAGGAACTATTAAATCCTCCAGATGAATCGCTAGTCCCATCATATCATACCATTGCCTAGACCAGGCATGGGCAAATTTTTTTAACTTGGGGGCTGCATGCTAGCACTCCCTGCTAGGAGGACTGGCTGCCCGGGAGGAAAGAAGGAGGAAGGATAAAAAGGAGGAAAGGGAAGGGAAGGAGAAGAGGGAGAGGAAGGGAAGAAAGAATGAAAGGGTGGAAGGGAGGAGGAAAGGGAGGAAGGGGAAGGAAAGAGAGAAGGAAGGAAGGACAAAAGGGTGGGAGGAAGGAAAGAGGGAAGAAGGAAAGAAAGAAGGAAGGAGGGAAAAGGAAGAAAGGAGGGAAGAGGAGGGAGGGAGAGAAAAGGGAAGGAAGGAAAGGAAGGAAGGAAGGGAGGGAGGGAGGAGGGAGGGAGGGAAGAGGAGGGAGGGGAAGGTGGGAGGAGGGAGGGAGGAAGGGAGGAATAAAAGAGAGAAGGAAGGAAGGATAGGATGGTGAGAAAGAGGAGGGCCTGAGAAAAGTGCCCAAGGGGCTGCATCTGGCTCCTGGGCCTGGGTTTACCCATACCTTGCCTAGACCGTCTATGGCTGATGAGAGTTGTATAGCAATGCACATTTAGCTTAGCTTTATTAGTCTTTTGTGAACTGACTCTGATTCATGACCATGACCTCTCCTAGTATCATGCCCTCAACCTAGAGAAAAGAGGAAGAAGCAATCTCAGCTCCCACTTTCTCTCTTTCTCTTGTAACTGGTCTGTTTCATTCCCCAGAGCCTGCCTGCCTTGTGGGGTGATCAAAGTGGCTGTTCTCTCATCAAGAGTGCTCAGGGCAGGAAGCATTTGATTTCCATTAGCATCTAAAGATTTCACTTCTCTCTTTGACAATCATTAAAAATCTCTGACAAACTGTTCTCTGGTCTATGCAAATCCTGTGAATAGAAGAGATATAAAAGAAAACAGAAGAATTAGCCAGGAGAGGGAGCCATTCTCAAGCCTGCATTTTCATTTTCCCTTCCTCATTGATCATGTGTTGCACCACAGACCAAAACTAAAACCTGATTGTAGTCTTATTCAAAAAAGTAAACCCCTTTGATTTGCAGCTAAATAGATGTTGGCATTCTCTGTTTAAGGCACTGGAGTACAATGGTCATTCTTGAGATTGTTGCTCCCAAAGCTGAACTTTATATTAGATTTTTAAAAGCTTCACTGACAGGCTATAGTCCAAAAAATGTAGGTTTCCAAGTATAGCAGTGGAGATGATTCGGCTGATTTGGGAACCTTCCTTCCCTTGCTGGTGCTGGTGTATGCTCTTTGTTGCACTGAGTGTCATCAGGAGGAGCCTGAAAACTTGGCTGTTCCAATGTGCCTTCAAGGATTGAATGTATGAAAAGTTCTGACCAATCGCTGCACAAAATGCCCTCAGAAGCACTGTATTTTCTGGTTTGTACAATTAAATCCTACCTTATCCCCCGGATCCCCTTCCTGATATCCTACACTGCCCTATCTTCCAGTGTTTTAAAATTTTAATCCTTGAATCTGGCCCTGACCACTGTGATCATTTTAGTGTTTAATGTTTTGATTTTATACTGTTGTGTTGCTTATTTACATTGGTTCTGCATTTTATGTTATTTTATTTCTTGATTTTTGTTGTGTTTTTGTGCTATATTGTGTTTACTGTATTGATGGGCATGGCCTCATGTAAGCCGCCCCAAGTCCCCTTGGGGAGATGGTGGCAGAGTACAAATAAAGTTTATTATTGTTGTTGTTGTTGTTGTTGTTGTTGTTGTTATTATTATTATTATTCTGAACCATCAGGTTCTGCCACAGGCAAAGAAAAGACAGCTGAATTAGTGATTAAAGATTCCAGTTGATTGGACCACCTACACACCTACATACAATTCCGCACAGAATACTGTAGAGAGATTTAACTTTGACCCTATACAAGAGATGTAGCATATGATTATTGTTTCCTTGTTGCTATCTGTAATCCTGATGAAAAATCCTGGCGTAATCAGGTTGATGTATTTTATTTTTTTTCCTATGCCCATCTGAGCAAACTTTGTTTGAACTTTTTGGGATGGGAGATTTTAATATAGTAAGGAAATATATATCTATACCTACCATTCAATCGATGTCTGTCCAGTGAGATAGAAGGGGAAAGTGAATAGTATTCCTTAGACTACTGTCATTAGCCATTTTGTCCCTTCCAGGCCTGTTTTAGGTTGACTGCAACTTTTATCAAAGCCAGAAGGAACCATATAGAATCTCAGAGATGCATGGCTATAGCTTTTGAGGGCACTTGTGGACCACAGCTTGCACTCTGCCAGTTGCTGTTCTGTGCTTTCTCTTGAGCTTTCCCTTCTTTTGTTCCCCTCTCCCATTCCAGGACAGTTCCCCAGCAGTTTTGTGGAACCTTTATATGTCCCTGCTTTGAATCAAGGGGAGAAGCTCTTCGTTTGTACCAGCAACTTTACTTCCCAGGAGCCTGGCAGCCTGACCTTGCAAAGAGGTACTTGGAATGATTTCCTTGCCATTATATTTTGAGCAAAAGTGACCTGCTGTTATCCAGTTCTATTACTGACTTCCGAGTCCATCAAATAAGAGCTGCATATATCAATTGTTCTCTGGCTTTCCAGAACAGTAGTCCAAGAGGTATTGCTTCTGTGTGCTGCTATGACTAAGCCTGGATCTCAAGACCTCTAAAAGCAGGAAAGTGCCTTTGGAAAGTTGCTAAATCCCATTTTTTCTAGCAGTGGTTGGTAAATTCTAGCTGGAGTACTGTTGGCCTTTGTAGCTCTTGGGGCTGGGAACTATTCTGTGGGCTCTAAACAGAGGAAGGAGATGCCAGAAGTGGAGGAGGATGAGAAACCACTGACCTATGGCTTGTAGTGATGTCAAATACAGCCCCCACAAGGCCCCACTTGCCTGACCTCTCTAAACTATATGCCATTGTAAATCATAGGGATTGAGTGCAAGGTATCATTATTGTAATCTGCTCCTCCTCCCTCTTTCTTTTCAATTATTAGTTGAGAGCTCTTTGCTCTCTCTCACATGCTTTTTCACACAAGGAAAGGAGATGAAGAGTGAGAATGGGCTCCTGCCTGTTCCTCTAGGATCCTAATGGCATCTGTGGCCATAGTCACACCTACTGGAGTCATTTGTCCTGTGGAAGGTGGAGGTTGCTTTCTCCCCAAAACATCATTCTTTAGTCCTCCTTTAGACAACACTAAAACTTGGGAAAGCCCTTTTTATTACAACCCTTTTGTTGTGACCAGTTCAGCTGCAGGATTCTGGGCTTTATAGTTCAAAAACCAAATGCTCCCAAGCTCTGGGCGAGACCTATCTAGTTATCTGATCTTATGTCCCTTGTCTGTGCAGGTGATCTGGTTGTTTTGAATGGTTCTGCGGCCTCCCCATGGCTCCAAGGCCGAAGCTGCTGGGGAGCCAGGGGTTTCTTCCCAGCGTCCTGTGTGCAAGAAATCTGCCTCTCCAACTTTGGCCCTCGATACTCTCATGCAACCATGCTGGAGATGCCGCCCTATGCCTTGGGCCAGGCCCGAGCAGTGATGAGCCTTTCTGCGCAGTTGGAGGAGGAGTTGGACTTCCGGGAAGGGGACATGATCACCATTACTGGGATCCCTGAGCCTGGGTGGTTTGAAGGGGAGCTTGGAGGTCAACGAGGCATCTTCCCTGAGGGATTTGTGGAACTTTTGGGTCCCCTGAAAACAAAGAGTAACTTGGAGGAGATAGGATCCTCAGAAATCCACAGTGTGAATGGAGTGAAAGATGTATACTCCCAGGAAGAGCAAAGTGTATGGGATGATAGGGAGGAGTTCCCAGGGCCTTATGGGATTGCCTTATATCAGTTCCGGGCCCTGGAGTCAGCAGAGCTTGACTTTGAGGTGGGAGACAGAATTCGGATTGTGGGAGTCCTGGATGATGGCTGGCTGGAAGGCGAGCTCCGAGGAAGACGTGGCATCTTTCCCCATAGATTTGTGAGGTTGGAGGAGGGTAGTCCTCCATCCAGGAAGAAATGGGAGACTGAATGTTCATCGAAGGGGGTAGACTTAGAGGTATCCAGCCCCCACAAGGCAATTTCTCCTGCTGTGTGGGAAGAGCCTGAGTGGAGCCCAGTCTGTAGTGAGGAGAAGCTTAGTCATGTTCCAGAGAGATTGGAGGATGCTTTGGAATACTCTGAGCTCAAGGAGGATGAAGTGCTAAACCACCAAAATGAAGCCTTCCTGGGATCTCTTTCTTTAGACATGTCAGAGAACCCTGATGTTGACTCAACCAAATCTGTAAATGGAGTTTCTAATGTACCTCAGCTCCCACTCCAACCAAAGAACCAGCCCTGTGGCCAGGTTAGTGGACGAAAGTCCAGTCAGAGCCTGAGGACCTCATGGGACTTCACTGAGGCCTGCAGCCCCCAAGAGCAGGATGAAGAAACTCAAAGTTTTGCACCTGAAAACATCCTTTGTGAAGACATGGTCCCTTGCGTGGATGTTCAGTGGCAAAAGCCCAAATCCTGTTCTTCCAGCTTCAGTGGGTCTCATGAGGACCTTGATACTTGGCCTGTCTGTCATGCCACTCAGGTTGAGCGACCCCAAGGAGGACTTCATGGAGAGAGTTGTGGGGACCTTGATTCCAAACTGACAGAGCAACTAGCACAATTTGAGCAAAGCTTAACCAATCCCGCAGGCCATGTTAGCTACAGCACCCCGCAACAGGACGAAATCTCCCGCCATTTTTCCATCCTGGATTTTAGCTCTGAGAAGGACATTGTACGTGGCTCAGTGGAACACACTCCCCAAAGGAGGAAAGTGTTAAGGCCACCTCCTCCTCGTCCTAGCACTCCAGTCTTGACCCCATTTCATTCGCCAGCAGGGCAGACCCCTCAAAGTACACCTTCCCCTCAGATTCCACCAACTTCTGTGAGACCCTCTCGGCCAGCTCCGCTTCCACCTTCAGGCAGCCAGAGGAAGATGCCAGTTTCAGTAAAACTACGTTCAGAGGGCAAAGAGAGACCAAGCAGCACTGACAAGCCTGGGGATACATCACAGTATCTTTTCATGGCTAAACACATTCAGGAACTGGATCAAGAACTGGATGTTTACAGAAAGACCCGAACAGAGCTCAGTGCAATGCTCGAGCAGCCACAGAATGAGCTTGTGCGGATAGAGACACTGGAGAACCTGGACTTCTGTGACCGCAAGATCTCCATTCTGACTCTGGAGTTGCAGGAACTGAAGGGTAAGTAGAGTAACTTTGCCAAACATGGATAGTGGGAGAAAAGATTCTTTACCCAGGCACTCTATAAGTAGGCTGGTGGGAGTGGGGGTGGCAAAGTGCTTGGAATTAGAGTCCCCAAATCCCCCAACCAATTGGCCATGCTGGCTGGGAAATTCTGGAAGTAGATTATGGAAAATCAGTTTTCCAGAATCTGAATATTGATTTTACATCTAGCTCCATTTCAGGGCAACCAGCAAACAACATGGAGGTTAGCCATTTCATTATCTAAGAGTAGCCCCCTGGCCTCATATCTTCTACATATTTTGGACTTTAGTTTTAAGTATTTCTTCAAATTGGACACGTTGGCTAGTGGGTAGTATAAGGTATCATGCACACATTCTGGAGATCTTCTGGTTGAAGGAGGCTACCTTAGAGATACAGGTTGAGTATGCCTTATCCAAAATACTTGCAACCAGAAATATTTTGGATTTTTTTTTTTTGGGATACATGCATTTGCATATACATACGTAGTGAGATATCTTGGCGTTGAGTCCCAAGTCTAAACATGCCAATCATGCAGGTTTCATATACCATATAGCCTGTAGGCATATTGTGAATGTAATTTTATGCAGAATATTTTAAATGATTTTGTTTGTGGAGCAAAGGTTGTGTGCATTTAAGCACCAGAAAGCAAATGTTCACTATCTTAGCTACCCATATAGACAGTTTTGGAATTTTCCAAATTCTGGATAAAAGGATGCTCAATCTGCACATGATAACTAATTGCTTTTAGCAGTTCAGAATTATCTCTTGCTTAATTGATGTTTTTGAAGATGGGGAAGATATGTAAAAGGTATTTCTATCCCAGGGGCATGATACCTTCATCATCATCATCCTGCACCCTAGGGAATTTATTGCAGTCACCTTGAATCCCCACTGGAGAGATAAGGCAGGAGAGAAATAAAGTCCCATTCATTCATTCATATTTTAGGTTGATTGGATAACTTTGTTGAGAGATAACAAGTTGAGTCTCCTCATTTCCACTCAGCCAATTTTCATTCATGAAACTGTTATCCAAGCCTCAAAAGTGTAAACTTCATAGTGATGAGTTGTGAGCAAGAGTCTTACCCACTATAAACTTTTGACTTTTGGACATGTTGTTTATCTCACTGATTATTTGAGTAAAGCAGAAGTAGAGAGTGAGTGGCCCTCTAGATGTTGAATTACAACCTTCAGATGTTCAGTTTGCTTTGCTGGTGGTAGAGGATTATGTTATGGAAGTTATAAGTCACTGGCATACGAGTGGCACACATTCCCCAGTCTTGGGTAGATCCACTAGGGTACTACTGTGCTATCATCATAAGTCCACATTGTGGTCCAAATATAAAAGGTGAGCTTGGTTTTTTTATTTGCACATATCACTCCAGTCCTTCCGAGATTGTAATCTTTTCCAGTTACTATGGAGGTGACCAAAAAGAAGTGGCATCTCAGCTAACAGACTCACAAAGTCCAGGTGACAATTCTGAGACTTGCCTTGAGTAGAACAAGTGGAATTAGGATCAAAGAAACTAAATGAGCGGTGAAGCTGGATATGCACACACACAGTACTGTTTAATTGGTTTGTTTTTGTTTTTGTTTTAAATTGATAAGAATGTATGGCTATTAGATTCCTTGAGTTCCCTCTGTCAGAAAGGAGGAGTATAAATAAAATAAATATATAAATAAAAAGTCAGATATTGAGGTTATGGGAGGATGAGTGCATGGGAAACTGGGATGAAAACGGTGAATCTGAATTTGAGGCAGGAAAGGTACCTGGGGGAGTGGTTACACCTTGTTCTTAAAAGATGAATTGTGATGTACAGAAATGTGCTATGATTCAGTTTCTTGGCACAGTAGTCCTATGTAGGAGGACTTTGGTTGGATTATTGGAAAAAGAACTAGGAAAAAAGCCTTTCTCAGTTCATGTGTGAATAAATTAATGGGCATGTGTAGGTACTTTGCACAGTTGCAAATTTGTTTTCTGCATGGTATTTCACCTATATCTCATAGAAGTTGTAATCTTTTGTTCTCTGTTTTTTCATCTTGAGGGGATTGGAGAAGAATGTATGGGCAAATGCACAGAGACAACAGCAATAATTGTAGGGAGATATGGATAGCATCCAAAGCAAGTGGCGGGTAACTCAGTTCTGTGATATATATTTGCCTAGACACTATCTATCTATCTATCTATCTATCTATCTATCTATCTATCTATCTATCAGTTCTGTGATAAATATTTGCATAGACTTCTGCCCTTGACTAATTAACAAAAACGGTTGACATACTGTTTTAAATGAGAACAATGAACACCCTAGTCCAGTGGTTCTCAACCTGTGGGTCCCCGGGTGTTTTGGCCTAGAACTCCCAGAAATTCCAACCAGTTTACTAGCTGTTAGGATTTCTGGGAGTTGAAGGCCAAAACATCTGGGGACCCACAGGAGGAGAACCACTGTCCTAGCCTAACAGGCTGCAGTATGGTGGTTAAAGTATCAAAGCAGTACTGGAGAGAACTGAGTTTGAATCCCTAATTAACAGCGAAGATCACTAAGCAATCTTGGACCAAGAATACTCCCATAGCTAAAGTTGCCACACAGAATACAATGAAAGAAGGAATCATGTCTGCTTCCTTGAATTCCTGTTAGGAAAGACAGGATGTAAATATTTTTAAAAAATCTTTCACAAGCTCTTGATTTTGCATTTGACATCATAGTTTTCCTGCCTGGCAAATAATGTGTCCTGTCCAGATTTCTAGAAATTTGGCGTACATGAGTATGTGAAATGATGACTTGCTGAAAGGAAAACAGAGTCTGTACTTGAGCTCAAGTCCATACTTGAGCTGAAACTTGAAAAAAATATTAATCTGAACAGATTCTCTTGGAGCTTATGGGAAGATTCATTAGTAGCACTTGGAGACAGTGCTTTTTAAAATATGTCCTGAGAACCAACCTAATGTTCCCCAAAGCATTAGCATGTCCAGATCATTTTAATGTTTGCACTTAAAAAGTTCTTAAGACCTCAACACTTAAAATTTCCAAGTGCATTGTTTCAGTTGTTACATGTACAATTAACCATTTTATTTTTACACCCCTACTTTGGATTGCGCTCTACAACTTCTTCTTTTTTCCTGGTATGTTGGAAGAAAAACAAGCAAAAACAGTTTGTGCATCCTGGTTAAGGAAAAAAATACTTTGAGTTCAAAATCATGAGAACGTCATTTGCCTACAGGAAGAAAATCCTATTTTCTCCTCTTGCATTAATCCTTAAGCATTCCTTTTTTAATGGGCTGTAGGGGGTCTCATGTTAGCTCGGAGGACCAGCTGGAGTCAGAGAATTTAAATCACAGCCCTCTAAGCTACTAGCTGTTCTGTCTGGGGATTTTGGAATTTCTAATATAAAAAGCGATATTTCCCAATAGGCCAGCTGGAGCTGCCCTGTTGCCCTAGTGTCCTGTTTGTCCCCGTTTTCCCTTGCCCCGGGGAAATGCTTATGGGGTGTGGTTAAACCACATGTTTGCAGTTTCCTTGTCACTGGTGGCCATGACTGCCTTGAGCATTACAAAGCAGAGAAGCCGGTTTGGGCAGAGAGCTGATTCAATATGCAGCTCCAGTCTGTGGGACTCTGGTTACTCATTACCTGAAAGAAGGTGGGAGAGGCTTCCTGAGCTCCTTGCCGATTGGGTATTAAGGTTCCTGGTCATTTTCTTTCTGTTGTCAGTTAGACAGCAGTACCCTGGGGCTGAGGGAAGGTTGCAGAGGAATTGAGCCCCGTTGGGGAAGCAAATGGAGCGAGTCAGGTTTGGGGCACACCAAGAGGAATATGTGCACTTACCCCGAGGCAAGAAACAGGACAGAATCTCCTGGTCGGCAGCCTCATCTTCGGATCCCCAGCTGGGAGTACGAGGACTACAACTCTGTTAGCAGAGGCGGAGGTGCCCGGGGCCAGAATGGCGCTGACTGTGATTGGGAGAAGAAATGTAGGGCCCAGGAGATATATGGCACCACCAGGCCAGTGGGCAAGACCCGTGCGCGCTTCAAGAACGGGGACGTGTGCTATAGAGACCATGAAATAGCTCAAGCCTACCAGGACTATGGAAACACAAGTAGGCAGTTTATGGACCAGAAAAAAACAAACAGGAGCAGTCCATACATAGAGTGTAGCAGTGCTCACCTGGAAGTTAGTGGATACTGCACAGACTATGAGAAAACAGCCTGCAGAAAGCCTCACAATCGGTCTAAGGATGGCTCACATCTGGATGCTGAGTTTAGGATCTCTAAGAATGGGGACAGTTGGGAAATGAACTGCTGGAAAGAAAGTGGGGACTCCAATTACCACCAGAATGAGAATGAGTACTACAATTTGGATGTGAATTATAAGAAGAGGTATGATAGGTATGTGGACCAGGGGAGAACAGACAAGACATTTGGTGAGAAGGAGGAAAAGCAGTATACACTCCGTCGAGATCCTTACTGTAACCAAAATTCAAAGGGGACTTCTGAGCACTACCCTGTGGATAACAGAAATCTCTCTTTTGTCCCAGAAGATCCAGTCTCCTCGTCCTTGGGATGCAAGAGCAACAATGAGGGATTAGAGTCTAGGTATGAATCACCGAAACGGCACTTTATGGAAGACAGAGAATCTGGAAGGATGGAAGTGGTGGCTGACCAATCCAGAACACCAGGCCTGCAGGTCTGGGATAGTGGATGCCCAAGAACCCGTTCAGGTCGCACAGACTGGAAACTGGACTGGGAAGAAGAAGCTGGGTGGGCAGGTGGCACAGAACCTTGGCAGCGGAATAGCTGTTACCGCCGAACGGCTCCTAGTGCCTTGAGGCACCATGTGAAAGCAAAAAAAGGTAGGTGAGCAGGAAAGGAATGAATTGTAGAGAGAAAAACTCGTATTGGGATGTCCACACCCTTCTCATCCACCAGGCCCTGACACAAACAACTTTGCTTACCCCATGGCAATGGAAAACAAAACGTGTAATATATAATTTACCAGTGACTGTCAAGGTTAATTGAGTGTTATTTTTTCTGTGTATGCTAATTCGTGATAATTGGAATTTTCTCCCTGGCCAGACCTCCTCTGAGCTTGTGCCTGATTTCCCTTGGCTAAGCATGTCTACATTTAGCTCTTTAGGAATGTGTGGACACTTTGGTTAGTTTTGTAATGTTTTATTGCCCTGCAAAGGCTTCAGACATTAAGAAAGCTGATCTGCTAACTCCTCTGTCCATTTGTGGTCCTGAACTGGCTTGCTAGTGGGTCAGATTCTGAATAGGAACCAGGATATGGAGCAGCTCTTTGAAACCAACCTTTGTACTTTACCTAGCAGCCAGGTGTTTTCCAGTGCAATGTGGTGCAGGACTTCATTGAAAGTTTATGAGGTGACATTTCTACAATCTCTGTGCAGTTACAGAGAAAGATTAGCTTTTCTTGTTTTCTTACTGCTATGTGGCAATTACTTATCTTAAAGAGGCAGCTTACTTTACCTTCTCTTTTGAGGGTTATTTTTCCTAATGTGGTTTTATAGGAGGCCTGACTGTTTTAATTTGGTTAATCTGGATTACAATGTGATGGCATAAAAGAATGCTGACTTGCCTTGGTACGTGGTTTCCACTGGGATTTGTTTTGCTCTCTTCACCTTTTCTGCTTTGTCGAAAGTCATCTCAAGTTAAACAAAGTTGGTTCTTGGTGCAACCTCTTTCAGGTTCTTCAGCATTTTTTCTGGAATGCTGTGTGCATGTGAAATGTTACAGACAGATGTTGCTATTACTCATCTAGCTCTGTCAGTTGCAAAAAAAGTTGTAGAAGAGTGTAAGGAAAATGTCTTTTTTTGTGCAGCTGTGCCCCTCCCTAGTGAACTTACTTTGATCAGCGGTGCTTGCACTTAAGTCTGAAGGCAAAGTGCTCCCACATTAGAAAACTAGTAGAACAGGTTTGGAGTCTGTTGATGCTGAATTCCAACGGCTTGATTTTCTTAGCATCCTGCTTATTATCAGCTCCATCTTACAATAGAAAAGGAAATACAGAATCAGTTGCCATGCATAGTCTGGATTCATTTCTTGCCTTTTAATGGATATGCTTCAAAAGGTTTTTAATTTATGTATAATTTAATTATACCCTGCCATCTTACCTGCTTTTTGTTTTAGTAAGCCACCTTGAGTCGGCACTAAGGAAGTAAATTCTAAGCCATGATACTCAAATGTAGCTTCACACAAAACCTAAATATTGCAATATGTATGATTTATGGTCATGATTTCTATCCAAGAGAGATACATTCCCAGTCAAACTAATTACCTGAAACCAAGTGCCATTAGGTTGCTGTGAGTCTTCCGGACTGCATGGCCATGTTCCAGAAACATGGAACATGGCCATACAGCCTGGAAAACTCACAGCAACCCAGTGATTCCAGCCATAAAAACCTTTGACAAGACAAGTGTCATTAAATTATCGCCATAGTATTCCAAGGAGTTATTTTGAAGGATCTAGACATTCTTACAGAAGTATCTCTCTAGGCATTTGCTAAATCTTCCAAAACCTGGAGGACCAAACAAATTCCTAAAGAGATAATTTCTCCCCAAGACATGGATAAGTGAAACTGCAGATATGGAGTTCCACAGTTACATGGGTCATACTGTATGTAAATTGAGCTACTTAGGCTTATTCTATTCATAGTTTACAATATTTAATATATTATAGCATATAATATATATTGTTTATAATATTGTTACGTCACAGAAAGGTTATAAAGGTGATTCTCCTGTTCCTATCTACCTCAATTTATACTTGGTCAATCCTTTCCCTGCTCAAGTACATGAAACCTCATCCAACGGCCTTGGGAAATAGAAATATCCTTTTAAAATATAAAGAGGGATAGGTGTATTCACTTGCTGCATCGAACTGAATAATCCAAAGATTTTGAAGATGAACATCTTCATCTTCATCTTCATCTTGAATGCTGCATCCATTCCTGGATGTCATAGAAAATTTTTAAAAGTTAAAACAAATGAATATGACATCAAAAGGTGGTGATTTTTTACAAGTGGAGTTTGAAAAGTGATAGATACAGAATTCACAGTATGGAATCAAGAGGGCAACCATCTCCACATCATAGATATTGTTGGTGCAGCAATAGATTTTTCTGGATATGCTTTAGAGTATGTAGAATAGCTTTATTGTCATTATACTATTTCACAATGAAATTAAATGCCTTCTCCAGTACACATCACAAAAACAACACACCCATCCCTCCACACATTCATCGCTCAACACACCAATCCCTCCTTGCCATGGGTACTTGTTCTAGATAGTGCAGGGTAGCAGCAAAACAAAAGGACTTTGGCTCCCGATGTCCTCCGAGTCTAGAAAAACACCACAGAAAACAGGTGCACCTCTGATTTTGTTGTTTATTTATTCAGTTGCTTCCGACTCTTCGTGACCGAATGGACCAGCCCATGCCAGAGCTTCTTGTCAGCCGTCACCACCCCAGCTCCTTCCAGGTCAAGCCAGTCACTTCAAGGACAACATCCATCCATCTTGCCCTCTTCCTTTTTCCTTCCATTTTCCTCAGCATCATTTTCTTCTCCAAGCTTTCCTGTTTTCTCATGATGTGGCCAAAGTACTCCAACTTTGCCTCTAATATCCTTCCCTTCAATGAGCATTCAGGCTTTATTTCCTGGAGTATGGACTGGGTGGATCTTCTCGCTGTCTAAGGCACTCTCACAATTGTCCTCCAACACCACAGTTCAAAAGCCTCTATCTTCCTTCGCTCAGTCTTCCTTATGGTCCAGCTCTCACATCCCTAGGTTACTACAGGGAATACCATTGTGTTAACTATGTGGATCTTCGCTGCCAGTGTGATGTCTCTACTCTTCACTATTTTATCTAGATTGGTCATTGGTCTCCTTCCAAGAAGTAAACATCTTCTGATTACCTGGCTGCAGTCTACATCTGCAATAATCTTTGCACCTAGAAATACAAAGTTTGTCACTGCCTCCACGTTTTCTCCCTCTGTTTGCCAGATATCAATCAGTCTGGTTGCCATAATCTTAGTTTTCTTGATGTTTAACTGCAACCCAGCTTTTGCACATTCTTTTTTCACCTTGATTAGAAGGCTCTTCAGCTCCTCTTCACTTTCAGCCATTGAAGTGGTATCATCTGCATATCTAAGGCTGTTAATGTTTCATTCAGCAATTTTAACTCTAACCTTGAATTCATCAAGCCCCGCATGTCGCATGATGTGTTCTGCTTACAAGTTGAATAGGTTGGGTGAGAGTATACAGCCCTGCCGTACTCCTTTCCCAATCTTGAACCAGTCTGTTGTTCCATGGTCTGTTCTTACTGTTGCTGCTTGGTTGTTATACAGATTCCTCAGGAGACAGACAAGGTGACTTGGTATCCCCATATCACCAAGAACTTGTCACAATTTGTTATGATCCATACAGTCAAATGCACCTGTGATACATGCCGTGAAAACTACTTGGAACTTTTCCAGTAAGCAAGTTTCAAAAATCATGACTGTAGAATAACCCCTGAGATAAATTTCTTTCACTCATCCCCAGTCTAATCCTCCTTCTTGTCTGCCAAGAAGCTGGGTTGGTAGTTTGTATTTGTGAAACTCTGACGAAGTCCTAGTCTGATTCAGACTTTATTTGGAAAATGAGTTTCTTGCTTTGTTTCCTTGTGCACAGGACTGTAATTGGCCACAGCTTTCAAGTACATATATAGGCATTGGTCTCGCCCTCAGAACTTGTGTACGTTCATTGAGAGAGAGAGAACACATATCTGCTATACATGATCAATCAGTTAATCTTTCCTCACAAAGAACCAGAACTGGATAACCATATTTATAGAAACGGTGAAACTAAGGGCGTGACAATCCTCATTAATCTTTAAGGGATGTTATCAATATGTTTAGTTAAAAAAAATAAGGACTGCTGTTGCTAATCATTTCAATGCTGATCAGAACAAATAAGGAGGTCTGCTTATATTACAGATGTATGATCAGACTGCAAGGATGTTAGGTTTTGGCAACAAAAATGCGGAGACTTGATTGTTGAAACCAAAAGTGCATACGTGTGTGTGTGTCTATATCTCTTTCTCTCAAAAATTTTATCCTACTCTTCTCAACCCCTGGGCCCGGGGGGACTCAGGGTGGCTTACAATTGGCAACAATTCAATGTCACTTCATAAAATACAAATATCAAATATAACAATTAAAAATATGAACATTTAAATAAAAATTTAATAGTATACTTACGATCCATTTAGCTATTGCCAGTCTGGTGGCTATTTATCTAGCCATATACTAATGATTACTCCGTTTCACTTATCCAATTCCACTGCCAAGCCATAGTCAAATATTATCCATTGTCCTTTAACCTGATTGCCTGAAGGTCCCTTCTTTCTGAAGGTGAGGAAGGATGATGATGATCTAATTTCCCCGGGAAGCAAATTCCACAGGTGGGGGGCTACCACCGAGAAGGCCCTGTCCCTTGTCCCCGCCAAACGTGTTTGAGACAAAGGCGGGGCTGAGAGCAGGGCCTCCCCAGAAGATCTTCTAAGACCAAGGTGGGACTTAGAAGGAGATATGTTTGGACAGGTATGCTGGACCAGAGCCGTATAGGGTTTTATAGGCATTTTATATATGGCATATGAAGAATGCAGCCAGCACAAAAGACTGTGCAACCACAATTTTGTTCATAGTAGTTGTCATTTTACAATGTCTTTAGCCTTCTCTGCCAAAGAGAGTACTGGTGTCTCACCAAACTATAAATCTCAGGATTTCATAGCATTGAGCCATGGCACTTTAAGTGGTGTCAAGCTGCATTAATTCTACTGTGTAGATGCATCCTA